TCAACTCCAATAGGTTCAGGTGCAGCAGGTTCAGCTACGAAAGGTTCGGCTGCAGCAGGTTTGGCTGCAACAAACTCAGCTGCAGCAAGCTCAGCTACAGCAAGCTCAGCTGGATAAGGTTTGACTGGGACAGGTTCAGCTAAAAAAGGTTCGGCAGCCACAGGTTTGGCTCCAACAACTTTGTATGCAGGTGGCTGGACTGCCGCAAGCTCAGCTGCAGCAAGCTCAGTTGGAGTAAACTCAGCTGGGTAAGGTATGACTGCCTCAGACTTCAACGCAGCAGGAGAAGCTGCAACAGGTGAAGCTGCAGCAGGTACAACAGGTACAATAGGCTCTGGTGCAGCAGGTGCATTTGAAGCAGGCCCAGCTGCAATATGTGGGGCTGCAGGTGCTGTAGGGATACTTGAATGAGAGTCCAGAGGAGAAGCCTCAGGAAAAGGAGGAAGAGAAACAGGAAGAGTCAACTCAGGAGCTAAGGGAAAGCCAGGCATATGGTACTTATAGGAGCCTCCAGGAGAAGCGGGAATCCAGGGATACAGAGGATTCCTTGCATCAGTGACAGGATTCTCAGGATGTCTGGGAGTGGTCTTCACTGGGGGATGACCCATGAGAGCTGGAAAATTATTCGGTGAGTCATAAGGAATATTCAGAGGTGTATTAAGTGGGTAACCATAGCCGTCATAATCCTAAAGGATAAACAAAGAAGTCAGTGAAAGTTGATTGCGATTGTTCTATCTATACATTTGTTTTACTCATGTTATGACTGTGATAATATAAGTGATGATTATATTTTTTAACAAATCAAAACTTAGTATTTTTCTGAAGGCTAATGTACTTCTATAATTTTAAAAATAAGAAAAGTTGAATAATGCCCAACTGAAGGAGTTATATTTTATGTTTAGGTAAATAACAATGTTACAACTGCAGAATATGTCAGTTTAGGCCAGGTCAGAAATAGAAGGAAAGCATGTGCATTTGGTGGGATTGGCACAAGATGGAAGAGCTGATGCTTCCAGGCATCCTTTCCGTCCCCTTGTTGCCCTGGCCACTCCCCTTGATGCCCTCCCATCTCTATCTACAATGTCCCATCAAAGTGTTAATTTTGCTGTACCTCTTTCAGGTGTCTCATGTTTTATTTTGTCTTTCTGAACTCCTTCAAACCCTGAAACCAAAGCTCCTATTTCTTCAAGTCCTTGCATCTTGAATTATTAATTTATGCAAGCAAACTGAATTTGGATGACTATTGGCTTTTCATATCTTTTTCTCTGTGGTGCTTGTGTTTTAAATGAGTGGCTTATTCATAGTAATCATGAATCTATGACCAGATTTCCAGTGATTTCTTTTGATAGGACATTCATAGTATCCTTTGCTATCAACATTTGCATTTTCTTCATTTAGGAGGCCATCACAAGATCACAAAGTTTTATAAGAATTTAGGCAAAATTATGATGTTTCTTGGTCTCACATAAATGAAATTTTATTTCATCTTAAAACATTTAACCTCACAAGTAGGTAGTGAAATAGGTAGGATATCAGCATGAATTAAAAAATTGCAGGATGTACATATAAATATGTTTATACTTATATTTGCATAGTTAAATGAGCTAATCAGAGGAGGAGACAGGAACATGCTTCTAAATCTTTTTGAGGACTAACATAGTAATATTAAATTTCTTAACAGTATTAGCTAGAAAACACTATTTTAAAGAGAAAGTCTATAATGCAAAATACATTTTAGTATCTTAACATATAACTAGATATGAGTATATTTTACCTCTTCACTGGATGAGAAAAATTTCTAGAACAACAAAGAAAACAAGATTGGTTTCAAATTTCACACCACTGAAAAACATCTTTATTTAGAGCTCTCTTTACATTCAGAATGACTATAACTGACAAAACTAAGTAACTCTGAATTTTCTTTCTGAAGTGTTATTGTTGTTTGCCTTAATCTCCGTTTTCCTGTGACTGTGTGCCCTCATTCCTGTTATCCTAAAATACATTCTTACAAAGTGGATATACAATGGTTGATTATAACATCTTATGAGTTCAGTGAGGGGACTTTAAAAATGTTTTGAAAACATTATAGTTGTATTTTGGGGCAAAAAAGGGTGAAATCTGCATGTAATTTTTTTTCATAATATCCATTTCCATGAACTTTTTGAAGACCCTTTGTAGGATTTAAACGCTAACATTTCAATTTTTTATTCATCTTTGTTTACAAACTTTCAGGTACCAGGAACCAAATGTTTCAATTCAACTTTTTGCCTGGTTGCTTATTTGTACCAGATATTCATAATAGATCATTTGTGTTTACCACAAAAATCATTGGTGACTAAATAGGACTTTGTTATATAACTTGTCAAAAACTGTAGATTATTCCGCAGAGCTTTGGGATATTTTAAAATTTTTGTTGATGAGAATTCTTTGATTTTTAAAAAAGTATAAATTGAGTATTTACTTTGTGTTTTCCCTGTCCTAGGTATTGTGATTCTACATGCTGGAAAAAGCAAAGTTTCTTAGCTCACATGCCTGGGATATATCCACTAGCCCGTCAAGCTTCCAAATTAAAATTTAATATTCTTTTCCAAGTTTAGTTTGGACTCCTGAATTATTGAGTTAAAATGTTTTCTCTTGGATGATATTAACAGAGCCTGCTAAAGTATGACATATGATGCACAAGTGTTACATGTTCCAGGGTGTTCATAGAGACAAATGTCAATTATTTGTATGGTGGGATCATACAGCTCTAGAATATGAGGATTTAAATATATACTCATAAGGAATTCAAAATATTATCTCATACTATTTCCACTCTTTAAGGTTATTTTTTTTAAAAAATGCTAGTCCTTTGCTATATGGTTAATGGATATTGGTCAAAATATGCACATCTTGGATGTTAGATGGATGTGTTTATTTACTGTATAGTTGTGGATAAGAACAAGTATGATTTTTTTTAGCTTGTTATCAAAATTTGAGGCAAAAATGACAAAGAACTGAAAAATATCTAGTGTCAGTTGATAGATAAATGCTTTGGTCTCCTACATAGTGATAATATATGAGTCTTTGCTATACAGAAATCATCTCTCATTGGGTCCCATATTTCTGCTAGTAGTTCCAAGCATCAAGATGCACTCCTGAAAATATGGTTGCCTTGCTACTTCATGATCTTTTGTTGCTTTAATCCTTCATGCAGGCAAAGTCTTCTTGGATTCAAAGCTTAGTCTGGTTAAGTAAATTCAGTAGACTGTGATAAAATATTTTAGAGGCGTAAGGGAAAACTTGGGCATTGCAAAAATTTTATACACTACAAAGACTGCTCACTGACAATAAAGACCTATTGTAAATAAATCTAGCACAGACATATTAATATTCCATAAATATTTTCCATCAAATCAGAAGAAATTAATAGCATTAAATATTTAGTGTCATAGTAGTTATTAAATCACACTGCAAAGAAATGAGTTTTTTGTTTGTTTGTTTTGAGAGAGTTTTTTGCTACAGGGCATGTGTATTTGCCCAAGAGGCAGAGAGAGACAGAGAGACAGAAAGCGAGAGATCACCCCCCACGCAGGATGGCCACATCACACTTCTCCTCCATTCTCCTCTTGGGCTTTCAGGCACGCACTCACACATGCCTGGTGTGAGTTTTAGTCACTGGATCTGGGACTTGAACTGTGGTTGACTACATGGGAGTCCAGCGACATAGCCATTACACCAACTGCTGGTCCCAAGAAATAAGTTTTTTTTTTTTTTTTTTTTGAGAGG